TATATATATATATATGTAGGGGAGGGTATGGTTCGGAACGGTCCGAGAGTTGGCATGTCCTGCTATTAAGAACCGGTCTGGGATGAGACGCCGTCCCAAATAGACCAGTATAATTCGGGATGAGTTAAAAAGATTCAGTACTATGTTGATTTGGAACAAAAAAATAATAATAATAATTACATTTCAAATGTCAGTAAAAAAAAAAAGTCATAAAATATTTTTTTAAATATTACATTAGTCCATTGCATTGTTAATGGATCTATTGTAGTAATACCCATATCCCCTATATATTAATTCAGAACGCGTTGAGCCTACGTGGCTGCTTCTGGTGCTTCGAAATCCTTTGTGGCAAAATTACATGCTTCGTTATTAGGTTTGGGTAAATTTTAATTTAATTCCAAACAAAAAATAATTAGGTTCGAATTACCATAAATATGTTGATTATTTATGGTCATGTTACATGTATTAATTGCATTTTAGTATCATTCCGTATTATAACTATTGAATTGTATATAGATTTTAAAAGTTAATAACTTTTGTATTTTTTATCAGTTTTACATATGTAATATATCAAATTAATCTTCTTTTGATAAGCTTCGATTTAACATCCATATTGTATGTATAAAAAAAATTAATTTATTAACTTATCTTTATACAATAATAAGTAGTTATATAATATAAGTTATAAAAACTAATATAATATACACATGTAAATCATAAGTAACACATATCATTCTAAAATATATAGTAATATATTTTTTGTAAAAAAGTAAACTAAATTTTATATAGTTTTCTCACTAATTTTAAAATTTAAGAATAATTTTTTAACAAGCACCCGTGTAATACACGGGTGTTGTACTAGTAAATATATAATACCAATGCCTAATATATATATATGTATATGATATTTTCTATGAATGTAATTAGGGACGGATCTAGAAATTAAGAGTAGACTTGGCTAAAATTTTAAATCCTCATTGCAATAAAAATCACATAATATTTTCTCTTCAAATATTCACTAAGATTGTGCTCGACGAGCTTTTACAAGAAAATTCATTATGCTCATTTTGTATTGTATTTTACGTTCTTTCACTAATTTGACATTGATCTCGTCGATCCCGTTTTTTTAAAGAACAATGATATCAATGGAGTATTTCCTTTCTTGGCAGAATGTTGGTATTTCATGTGAATTTTTAAAGATTTCACAACATAAAATGATATTCTATAGTTATTAGCAAAATAAAATAGCTACAAATCTTAAATTAAGTCCAAATATGATATACAACAACCACACTATAAGAGATTAAATTACTTACACACACACACACACAAAATTACTACTTCATAAACAATCAACAAAACAAAAATTAAAACTAAATGATCCTAGCAGTTACTATTAAAACCCAAATATCCCATCTAAAATGAAAAGATAGATAAAGACAATTAGACAAATGAAACAAATATCTAATAGAAACAAATATTATTAGAGAGTTTACACATATAACTTACTATTAAATCGTCTTCTTGAAAGTAGTCTCTTTCTTGTCGATTAGTTTTTTTTCCTCTAACTTCATTGTTCTGGTGTTCAAAGAAGGGACATGGTCGTGGCTAATTTATTTGATTAGATTTTGTGTATAGTGGTATTTTGTGGGTTTGTGTCTAATAGAAAAGGTGGATAAAAAATATATAATATTTAGAATGTTGTTTGTAGTCTTTGGACTTATTGGATTGGGTAGAAATACAATACATTTTTTCTCAAACTTATAATAGTTGTTACAAAAAGGAAAAAAAATTAAAAAATAAGGCCTGGAACAGTCCATGACATTGTTTAAAAATATTCGAAACCTATGCAGACATTGTTTAAATGGTTTGTTACTGAGAATTGTGACAAAATAAAAAAAATAAAAAAACTTCAGGAATCGTGTTTTTTCACAATGAGACCACTTCGGTTCGGTACGAGAAAATTAAGTTTTTTTCCCAACCCTACAACAATGTATATTCGTGTTATATAATAATATAATGTTGTGATTTTGCAATATGTCTTTTTTTTTTTTTTTTTTTTTGACGAAACCATAGGAGTTTATAAAAAAAATAAAATAATTACATCTAGATAACAACCAGAAACAGCCAAGCAGCTACCTAGCTGAATCCAGTGAAAGGTCGGCCCAAAGGGCAGCTTAAACACCACAATACAACACACCCACGAGAATAAAAAAGGTCCCAACAGGAATAATGAAGATTTCTGGAGTATGTCAATTCAACTGAAAATTATGCATCATTTGAAAGTATGAGTATGTAATTGTTACCTAATTTTTTAATGATAAAATCATAATAATTTCACATATACATTTTGTTACTTGTCTATGATGACAAGCGTTGTCAAGATAAAATTTATCATTATTTTCTATCATTATTTTCTAACTAAAAATTCAAGTGTATGAGAAAAATTATATTTGTAATATTTGAAAAAAAAAATAATCAATTAAAAATGATCATTTATTTATCATTTATAAATAAATAAAAAATGATCATTTATTTAACAGCAAATCCACACCATCTTGTTTTGTTGTTGACATTTGTCA